AAAATGATATAACTAGACATTTTTCTCCTAAAGCAAAGGTTAATGTTGAATGTTAATTGTTCTTTAAAAAATCAGGACTCCAAATTGTATCAATATTATTACAACTATACAAAAACATACTTGTGTTGAAGAAATCCTGCAAAGGCAAGGAACAGAAATGGCTAGTGTGTGGCTCTTAAATCAGTGGTTTCCTAATCCTGACTGTTGTATGAGAATCACCTGGGTAGCTTTAAAAAAGAGAGATTGTCTTTTCTTGGTCTTGGGTTTTTTAAGTCAGTTTTAGATTGATAGCAGAATTGAGGAGAAGGTACAGACATTTCCCATATTTTCACTGCTTCCCCCACTATCAGCATCCCATGCCAGAGTGGTACATTTGTTACAGTGACATATCATTATCCCCCAAAGTTCATAGCTTATATTACATTCTTGGTGTGTTGTACATAATGTGTTGTACATTCTGTGGATTTTAATGAATGTATAATGAAATGTATCTACCATATGCAATAGTTTCACTACCCTAAAAATCCTCTCTGCTCTGCCTATTCATCTCTCCTTTCACCCTAATGCCTGCAACCTGATCTTTTTCTTCTTTTAATTTTTTTATAATCTCTTTAGTTTTGACTTTTCCAGAATGTCAGGAGTTGGAATGATATGGTATGTAGTAGCATTTTCAGATTGTGTTCTTTTACTTGGTAATATGTGCTTAAGGTGCCTTTATCTATTTTCATGGCTTAATGGATCATTTCTTTTTAGTGCTGAATAATATTCTCTTGTCAAAATATACCACTTTATTGTTTCACCTACTGAAGGACATTTTGGTTGCTTCCACAGGTCGGCAATTATAAATTAAGCTGCTGTAAACATCTGAGTTGTGTCAACTCCTTTGGTATTTATAGCAAGGAGCATAATTGCTGGATTGTACAGTAGGTGTACAGGTAGTTTTGTAAGAAACTGCCAAACTGTCTTCCGAAGTGGCTGTGTACCATTTTGCATTCCTACCAGAAATGAGCAAAAGTGCTTGTTCCCTATATCCTCAGCAGTATTTGGTGGAGTCTGTGCTTTGGATTTTGGCCATTCTAATAAATGTGTAAGGGTATCCATTGTTGTTTTAAACTGCAGTTTACTTTTCTTTTTAGATTTTAAGTAATCTCTACACCCAATATAGGGCTCAAACACACAACCCTAAGATCAAGAATCACACACTCCACCAGGCATCCTTCAGTTTGCAATTTCTTGATCAGATATTGAACATCTTTCATTATACAAATTTGCCACCTGGTTATCTTTTTGGTGAGGTGGCCATATCTCTTGCCAATATTTTAGGTTGGGTTTTCTTTTATTAATTCTTTGTATATATTGGGTAGCAGTCCTTTACCAGGTATCCCTTTTGCAAATATTTTCTCCCAATCTGTGTCTTGTCATCTCATTCTCTTGAGCAAAATCTGTTGCTTTTCAAGTGATTCTGCTTTTCTGCCAGGTTCGTGATCTACTTCTTTCCACTACTGTCTGTGTCTTGCTTTTTGCAAGGCTAGGTGTCCTCAACAGTCATCAGTTTTCCACTACTCATTTCTTCAGCCTCCTTGTCACAGCTGGTCCCATCCTACTGTCAGTTTCCATGACTTTGTTGATTGTTTTTACTTGTCTCATGAGCCCTTCAAACTCTGACTCTTCACCTGGATAACCTTCATGTAGCTTTTCTTATAAAATAATGCTGGACATACCTGATCTGCAGGCCCCGTTTGATACTGGTACCACTTCCATAGCAGGGTTCCTTCCTGTTTGCCTTTGTAGATGCAAAAACTAATGGTAGTTGTTAGGGTGTGAGATTAACAATGTTATTCACACACACAAACTGACCCCACTTCCTATCTTGCAAATTTTCTGTATTCTGTCAACAACTTGTAAAGGTTAAATCCTTTTATTCATCACTTAATGTGTTTTTTAGTTTATATGCAAACTTACCTTCTTTTAAAAAGCCCATTTTAATCTTCATAAAGGTTGAATTTTCATCTCATTCCTACAATTTATTATGTATATTTAAACGAATATTTGTTCACTTTTTGTGTATTCGAATAGAAGAACATTTTTCTGAGGCAGCATGAGAGGAAGAATTTTTTTTGTTCACAGAGTGATCAGGATAATTAGAATGCAAGTGTATCTAAAGCATTTTTTATGTCTTATAGTTGTATATCTATGTGTGTGTGCCTAATCATTCAAAAATAAATACAACAGAGTATGTCTGAGATCTTCTGGAGCACCTCTTAGAATTCCCATGTCCTGTGATAGAAATTAATTGTTGTGAGTGTATTTTAATACCATTGAATTTTACACTTAAAAATTAGTAAGATGGTAAAGTTTACATTATGTAAAAATGATGCGTCATTTCTTTGTGTCATTGGCCAAAGCAGATCCATCTAACTTCAGCAGTAAAATACAAACTAACTAAATTTAACAAAATTAATAGCAGTTATTTTCTGCTAAGTAAAATTCATTGTTATTGATTTGTCAGGATAAGTTTTTGAAATTTGTAAATAAAGCAGTTTTATCTTTTATGACACATTGCACTAGTTAATCACATTTTTATTTTGTGAAAAGCAACTGTAAGTACAAATACTACATAAATACTTGACATGTTTTATTTTAAAGTGTATATAAATATAATCAGTGATTTTAGGACACGTGTCTTATTTTATAACTTTTAAAAATTTAAGTGGTCAGTTTTTCATTCATTTCACAGATATACCAAGCACATATTTGCTTTCCAAAATTAGGGTGACTTTAATAGTTACCATGTAATTTGATTTTATAACAAAGGGTTACACAGAAGTACACTTAAGTCCTTAAGAATAATTAATTGCTAGATATCTGATGTTCAGAATATATACATTTTTTGTCATATAGTACAGTTTCTCTAGTATTGTCATTATCTTAATTGCTACTCAAAATTTACTGGTTCACTGAATATGAAGATTGGTGAAGAATTCTGTAAATAGGCGTATTTTCAGTTTGTAGGTTTTCTTAGTGTTAGCAGTCATGGGAATCTGCATCTGACAAGTGCTAGACTTAACGAGTTGAAATAAGTGATTTATTGTTTAACACAGTACCATATACAAACCTACATGTTTATCAGTTTTGATACAGTTGCCCTATTTATGTATTTATGGGTGATGTATTTTGGAGCCAAGGAGCTTAGTCTCTCTCTCTCTTTTTTTTTTTTTTAGGAGCTTAGTCTCTTAGAACAAAATATATATAATAAAATTCTAATTTATGTGTATGTATAGGCTAGTGATTTTCATACTGGATGTTAGAACAGACATTTGTTTCATCACTAAAATCTCTTAGTGGCCATTTTTTCTCTGATATAAAAAAATTAGGTACAGTTTTCTTAATTTGAATTTATTCTCATTTGTTGGGAATAGTGTGTTAGGTATATTTTGTTTTCAGTCTTTGGCACTTGCAACCACTTATTTAGACTCATTTATACTGATGCTAATATGTAGTAACATCTACTGTTTATAATTCAAGTTTATAGATATCTATATATCTCAACACATATTAATGTGTTTCTCACCAAACACCATGACTTCAGATTCTCACCAACTTAAAAATGTTTAACCACTGCACTAGAACATGTCTGCTTAGGTAGGCTGGAGTTACAAGTTGAGCTAGACAATAGTGGATTAGGTGGGTTGGAATAATTAAAGAGATTGGCAGTATTGTCCTAAAGTGTTACAGGAACTTAGAGGACAAACTGCTTCTTTGTGATAGAACTGGTTCTAGCTTTAAATTCTGTTTTCTCGTCGATAATCTTACATTGGACTACTGATAGCATAGCAGGAAGTAGTAGTAGTCAGGAACTTCTTACTGGAGAAGGTGGCAGTATCCTCATAGACTATGGAAAGGAATTCTTAAAGTCTGAGTAGTCTTAACAGGATTGCATTAGGAAGGCATTTCAGGCTCAGGCCAACTTGATGTGCAAAAACAGGTATCACCCACCGTGTTGGTGGTGGATCATAGTATTGCAGGGTAGGATGAATGAAGTAAAAGGTCTTAGAGATGCCAGGCACTGTTCTAGGTGTGGGAAGCACACATGGAAAAGACCGAATCCCTGCTGCCATGGATCTTGTATTTTAGTGAGAGGAAGAGCAAATGGATAAATTTGTAATACAGTAGGTAGTGACAAGCAAGTACTGTGAGGAAAATTTAGTGTAGGTTAAAGAGTGGATATAGTCATTGTTTGAGATAGGGTGGTCAGGAAGACCCTGAGCAGAAGTGAAACTTGAGCAGAAAACAAATGAGGGGGTAGTAGGCTGTGTGAAACTTGGAGAAAAGGGTAGAACCCAGTTGCAATAGTTAGCTCCATTGTAGCGGAGCACACTGAATTAATAGTTTATGCTCCTTAAGTGTTTACTGAGTGCCAGCCACTGTTCTGAGTGTGTCACTAGTGTTAATTTAGTCCTTAGAACAGTTCTACAAAATGGTTACTATTTCATATGTAAGGAAACTGAGGCGCAGAGATGAAAATAATTAGCCGAGGTAACACAGCTAGTCAGGGAGCTGGATTTGAGCCCAGTAGTTTAACTCTAAAATCAACATTTTCAACCATTCTATGAAGATGGGAAACAGGAGGTGTAGTAGGAAATTTGATTGGAGCAGTATCCTGGGACCGCCAGTTCTATGGGGCACTGTAGTTCCTTATAAGTATTAAGAATTTTATTTTGGCTGTCATGTTAGGTTGTTGGAGGGTTGAGAAATGCCCAGGAGGTTGCTTTATGATTCTGAAGATCAGGAGATGGGTCTGGACTATACAACACGTTTGTTACATTTGTTAGTAATCTGTATTTAGGTTATATTATAGCTTAAAATATTTCTACTGGCCTATATTTCTTTGATGTAAAATTGAAGATTCCACACCATTAGTTTATTAAACAGATATGTGCATGTATACATATAAGAGAGTGTGTGGGTGTAAACAAACTAACGAACTCTTCTGTTAATAGGTGCGAGAAGATGTACTAAATTCATTGAATAACAACTTTCTTCAAACGCTAAATCAAGCTTGGAATGATCATCAAACAGCTATGGTGATGATTAGAGACATACTAATGTATATGGTAAGTAGAACTTTTCTGTTTATCCTTTAAGAAGTTAGACATTTCAAAATGTCTATGTCACATTTAGTTGGATGGTACAGGTCAGTGTGGAAAGTGTTATTTTTTAAAAAATAAAACAATATTTCCTTTGCAAGGACCAACCTTAGCTTATATGAAGTAAAATCTTCTTCATATATTTAATGATTAGAACGGAAGACTGAAAGAGAAAGGTCTAATATTTTTCTCAGTATTCAGCACTTCAAATTGGAAAATGATGAAAAACCTTACATCTCTGAGTAACAGTGGTTGAATGACAGCATGAGAGAGGAAAGCTTAGTATTCTCTCACAAGTTTTTAAAACCTAATGTCCTTATACCTTTAGTGATGGGGGTGTCATTTTATATAAATAGGCGTATAATAAGTACACTCTAACAGCTTCTGTCTAAATAGTAAGTCGTTGCAGTATGTATGTTATTCAGATACATATTGTTTTTTACCTGTTATTACTGTTCTTTGTTTTTGTCAGTCAAGAAAAATATCTTATTCAGCAAGACAATTTGGAATACATTGACATGAGCTAAGCTGTTCAATAACTTTTGAGAAGATTAAACTCTTGAGTTTTTTCTTACCTTTGTGTGATTGTAGAATGAAGCTAGGTTCATCAAACTTAATTATCGTGTCAGTGCAAAATTAATAGGTCTAATAACTTTCCTCGTTACTTCAGTGTTTATATTTGGGAATTGGACATATGATTTTCTTCTAAAGTTTTACTCTCTGCTTTTCAAATTTTTATTTTCAGTTTCTTTACTTTGATTTTAGCTATAGTGGTGAGAGCATGTTCTAGTTTCTTTCACTTGATTGAATAAAGCAATGGTTGGAAAGGATTTCCAATGAGAGCAAATAGCTGTGGAGCTTTTTGTTCTGCTCAGAGAATTCAGTCAGGCCTATTACCCCTGGTTTTATAGGGTCAGGGAGAGGCTACTTCATTTTTCAGGGATTGATAAAAGGTATAACAGTATTTAGCCTTTTTTGAGCCTTATTTTCCTCTTCAGGATATAGATTGATCCTGTGCTGACATTTTAAGGTAAATGAGATAGCACGTGAAAACATACAGTGCCTGAGATACAAATGTGAAATAAGTTAGCTTATACTCTTCTCATTAAGTTTTGGATTTGATGAGTCTTTAAATTTTAACACTAAGAAAACCATTTTTAATTTCATGATCTAGTACTCTATTGATAAAATAAGTATTTTTAAATTAGGCACACCCTCATTCTTTAATAATTTTTCTTTTATTTCAGTTTCATTTTGTCCACCAGGGTGGGGAGGAAGGGGAGGGAGAGGGTTCCCAAATGAAATGTCAAACCTTGAATCCTGTTATGTGACCATGGTTAAGAAACTAATTAGTTTATTCCTCAGCTTTCTCATTTATAAAATAAAAATAATATTGTACTGACTGGGTAAGGTAGCTATAAGGCTTGAGGGAGCCATTCATGTACAGCACTTAATAACACCTGGACCATAGCAGTGTGCTCAGTAAAAATTTACTAGGTTTAATATTTCTTGTCCCTTCATCCTTTCATCAAACCTGTCTAGTTGCACCACAGCCCCGGGTACACCCAGCAGCTTAGCTTTCCTGCGCCTCTGCTGGAGGAAGCTCCACACAGAGTATATCAGTGCCACTTTTTATCCTTTGTCACAAACTTCCAGTTGACCCATCACACTGTCCAGTGGTCTCGTTTTCCCTCCACTTGTAAACTTCGTACCTTCAGCTCTCCTGCTGTCCTCACTCTTAAATGATCTTGCCTTCCACCTCTCAGGAGAAAAGAGCAAGCATCAGCTATGTTTGTTTCTTACTACTATATCTACAGTTTTACCTGTATTTTCTCCCTTTTGTGTTTTTCCTTTTCCCTTTTGTTTTAATGGGACATTGTCTCCCCGTGTGTTAAATAAAGGCTAATTTTCCTTCCATGCTAAGGGGGATCACATCCCTTTCTGCCTTGTCAAAAACCTGAAATATTTTCAGGTTCTACCTTTTTACTGAGTCTTACTCATCAGCATGAGACATGTTCAGGCCAGTCAAATCCTCAAAATAAAATTGAACTAAATTTTCTGTTGAACTCCTGCACTGCCTCCCAGGGTCTCTCATTCCCATTCACAGGCAAATGTCTTGTGAGAAATACTGAACCTTGCTGGCTCCCTTTTCTCATCTTTCTTTCACTTTGACTATGTTCCAGTTAAGCTTCTTCCTCAGTTATGCTGTTCAGTCTTGCTCTTAGAGGGATCACTCTGTCTGTACATCTCTGAAGGCAGAGATCACTGTGAATCCTCAGACTCCTTGATTTTTTTTCTGCAGCATTGGGCACAGTTGACCACTCTTTTCTTCTCACTTGCTGGGTCCTCAGTTTCAATGACATAGCACTCCCTTGGGACACTTCATCCCTTTCCCACGGGTCCTTCCCAGTTACTCCTCCTTTGCCCTTTAAATAGAGGCATTCTTGGGCTTTAGTAACCTAGATTTCCTCCTCCTGGTTCACCTCAGTTACTACTATATCTGTAGCATTTATCACAATTGTTATTAACAACTGTCTCAGGCCTTGTTTCTCAGGCTGAACTTCTTGAGGAGAGGCCAGTGTCTTGTCACCACTGTGTCCCCAACACCTGGCACAACTCCTTGCACAAACTATGTAATTGAATAAATAAATGCACACGGAATCTTTTTCTTAAATAGATTATAGATTAAGCTTTTGCAAAATGCATTTTAAAAATATGCTATTGTTGGGGGAATCCCTGGGTGGCTCAGCGGTTTAGCACCTGCCTTCGGCCCATGGGTGTGATCCTCAGGTCCCAGGATCAAGTCCCACATCAGGCTCCCTGCACAGAGCCTGCTTCTCCCTCTGCCTGTCTCTCTCTCTCTCTCTCTCTCTCTCTCTTTCTATGTCTCTCATGAATAAATATAAAATCTTTTTTAAAAAATGCTTTTGTTGGGGCACCTTGGTTGCTCAGTCAATTGTCCAACTCTTGATTTCGGCTCACATCATGAGGGTCCTGGGATCTTGACCACAATGGGACCACCACCACACCTGGCTCCGTGCTCAGCAGGCAGTCTCCCTGTCCCTCTGCCCCTCCTCATTTGTGCGTGTGCTCTCTCTCTCAGATAAATAAATAAAATCTTTGAAAATATATATATATACTATTGAGGATTTGGAGGGAAATTAAAGTGTTGATATCTTCACATTCCACAAGATAGAATTCTTTCATTTTCATAGTCTTTGTTCCTTTTGCCTTTTTATATTTAGTATTCTGGGCTCAATTAAATAAGTGCTTTTTAAAATAAGTAAAGTTGAAATATGCAGAACTAGTTTTGACAAACTAGTTAAGAAAAATACAGTCTTTGGTCAAGAAATATAAATGCTTTTAATTTTTCAGAAATCAAAAGACTTTTCCTGTTGACATCTTCGTTTCCTTTGAAGAGTATTAACCTCATTTTAGACTTCTCAGGTGACGTAACCTGCTAGATAGGGGAAATACCTGAAGAATACTGATTGTACCATCATGGATCCTAGACAAATATCTTCTTATGAATATAGGCTCTATTGGAATTCTAGATCTCAGACTCAGAGAGGGAGGAGAGAAGATGCTTCACTGTCTACCCACCTGCCACCTACTCAGCTAGCTGACTTTGGCTCTTAACAAGGAGGTGTCTGCATATAAAATGTCATGTATCAGCCTCAATATATAGATACTGTGGGGCACACTGACTTTTGGAAATGAAAATAGGATCATTGGTTACATGGAGGCAGCCATGGTCACACCACTGTTTCGTTGTTTGGCATGTGCCAAAAAGAAATGTGTTTCAAAAAGAAAAGTGTACATGTCTCTAGATGGAACATGTGACCTCTAGTTTCTGCCACTACACCCCTTCCTAATGTTCGAAACTTGGATGTTGAATTTTTAAGATTGGTTTGGGGCTACTTAGTAAAAGTTTTGTTTTCAATTTTAATTGCTTAAAAGATTAATGATTGGGAAAGAGTTGAGCATTTTACAAGAATCTTTGTCCTAGTTCTATAATATGTTTAATTGTCAATATAACTCATATAAGTATATGTTACTATTCAGTTAATTTTTCTTTTAAAACTATAAAAATGAATATGAGAGGAAATTAAGTTTATGGATGGTATTCTATAAGCTACTTTTGAACAGCTTAGAATTAATGGCAAAGGAAATAGAAAAGCATTTCCTACTGTGATATATAAGGTTACCTGAAGGTTTGTAGAGAAATTTTCTGCATAAAACTACAGCGAATTTATTTTTATGCTTTTACTTGAATTTGTCCATATTTTCAGTCATTTTAACAAATAGCAGAGCTTTAGTGGTATTGAAGGTTTTCCTTAAAGGTTGGAGGCTGTCAATTCATAGGGACAGGTAGAGAGGGTGAACCCAGGAAAGGAGGACCACTGCTTCTTTGAGCTCTTTATTTGTAAAGTCATTAAGGATGAGAAAAGAGGTCAAGCAGAATGGCAACAGCTTTATGAAGAGGAGAGAAGCTGAGGAACTTTAATGTGGCAGGCTGAATAATGACCCCCCACCACCACCACCACCAATGACTATCTAGAAACTCAGGATTGTTACCTTATGGGTCAAAGGGAACTGTGCAGGTGTGATTGGGTCAAGGATGTTGAGAAGAGGAGATTGTCCTAGATTATCCTAGTTCAGGGTCAGTCCTAAAGGAGGGGCAGTAGGAGATGGCGATGATGTGACGACAGAGGCAAAGATTGAACGATAGACTCTGCAGGTAGAGGAAGGGCTACAGCTAAGGAATACAGGTAACCACCAGAGGCTGAAAAAGGCAAGAAAGTGGGCTTCCCCTCAGATCCTCTAAAAGGAATCAGCCCTACTGACATCTTGACTTGAGTCCAGGAAAACTTGATTTTAATCTTCCAAATTGTGGAACTGTGAAAAAGTAAGCAAGTTACCGAATTTGTGGTCATGTATTCAGTAACACAAGGAAAAAGTTTGGA